GCTATGCCTAATGCTATGGGCAATATAGCGACCTGCAGACGTCAGTCGCTGTTGACTGCCAAGATGATATTTTTCGGCCGTTCTTATAAGTTCAAACTGGAGCCGGGCAGGCTGATAGTACGTGTGCATGGTAAAATCTGATCTACGTGCCTCACTTCGCTCGCAGCATCGCGCCACGATTCCCATAGCTATGCAAATGTATGGGCAAATGGCGCTGCGACGTCAGTCGCTGTTGACTGCCAAGATGATATTTTTCGGCCGTTCTTATAAGTTCAAACTGGAGCCGGGCAAGCTGACAGCACGTGTGCATGGTAAAATCTGAGCTACATGCTTCACTTCGCTCCCAGCATCGCGCCACGATCCCTAGCTATGCTAATGTATGGGCAAATAGCGCTGCAACGTCGGTCGCCGTTGACTGCCAAGATAATATTCTTCGGCCGTTCTTATACGTTCAAAATGGAACCGGGTAAGCTGACAGCACGTGTGCATGGTAAAAGCTGATCTACATGCTTCACCTCGCTCGCAGCATCGCGCCACAATTCCCAGCTAGGCTAATGCATGGGCAAATGGCGCTGCAACGTCGGTCGCTGTTGACTGCCAAGATAATATTCTTCGGCCGTTCTTATACGTTCAAAGTGGAGCCGGGCAGGCTGACAGCTCGTGTGCATAGCAAGATCTAATCTACATGCTTCACTTCACTCGCAGCATCGCGCCACGATTCCCAGCTATGATAATGTATGGGCAAATGGCGCAGCAACGTCGGTCGCCGTTGACTGCCAAGATAATATATTCTTCGGCCGTTCTTATATTCAATGTTATTCAATGTGTAATTATTATTTCTTTAAAGTAATTAAATTAAATTAACATATGCTGCGTTCACACGAGGAGGTTATAGTACCAAAAACTAAATAAAATAAAACTAATACAGGCCTAACATTCTAGAACTAAATGTCAACAGAACTTTTAATATAATGAACGCATTGTTTATATCATTAAATCATTATCAGCAATGTTTCACACACTCCATAATAGAAATAATAGGCCTATCATTGACCTGGGTCTTACAATTTAATGGCCCATTTTTAGTTACGCGTTTCATAATCATATGAAATTACAGGATCAATCACGTTATTTACCTGTCGCCATGATGTATGCATATGTTCATGAATTTCTATCGTTAATTTTGATGAATCTTGATTTATAACTGATAAAATGAAAGCAAGCCGCTTAGCATGGAATGTTTGATTTGAATTCATTAGTTAATAGATTTGAAATACTGGGAGTGGGTTTTTGAGAAACAGGTTCTGAATCTGTCGGAGCTGGTTTATTTTCATTGTTTCTTTCGTGTCCTCATCCTCGGCATTTGTTGTCAGTACTTGGCATATTTCTCATCACGTGGCACATCGTATGACGCCTATAAAAACGAGTTATTCTACTATTACTTATTCATGGACATGCCATATACCTGTCATTCATTACCATTAACACGCATGTGCAATAAGATCGAAACGAGTTGTACCCAAATTTAATAGATAGGTAGCCCATGTTAGAGTGCAAGAAACCATGAATGTGTAGATGAGAGGAGAGTAGAGAGGTAAAGTGAAGAGAGAGGAGAGGAGAGGGGAGAGGAAAGAAGAGGCGAAGAGGGAAACGTAGAAGAGAGGAGAGGAGAAGAGAGGAAAAGAGAGGAGAAGAGAGGAGAAGAGAGGAGGGGAGAGGGGAGAAAAATAGAAGAAGGCAGAGGAGACTGAATAAGAGAATAAGAAATGAGCGGAAAGGAGATAAAAGAGTAGAGAAGAGGAGATGAGTAGAGAGGAGATAAGAGAGGAGAGGTAATGAGGTGAGACAGACGAAGAAAAAATAAGAAGAGAAGAGAGGGGAGGAAATGAGGCGAGACAAGCAAAGAGGAAATGAGAAGAGAAGAGAGGAGGGTAATGGTTGTTAACGCTAACCTGCTGTACGTCTGTATGTTCATCCTCCGCTGCCACACCATCATCTTGTTCCAAGTCGCAAATAGTCATATCCCCTACAAGTACTACAAAGTACAGAAAGTTAATGCCAATTATACTCCATATAGAAGAACCTCCAGAACGACTCCTAAATTTCCAATCATACCAACGTTTGCGATTCTTTGAGAATAATGGAGCATCGTTAATGTGTGTGAACAAACTTCACTATGGTGGTTGCGACCGTGTTCGAAGTAAGTTGATGACATGCATCGAGTAAATTAAGTGACATTAGAGCACGGATAACCTCTAACTGACCTGCATTACGGGGAAAATGCTGATCTCTGCATCCCAGCTGTCTTCCCTTGACAACCTGTGACGTCACGACATTCAACTTTCCTTTGCCATCCGCGCATGTTAGAATAGTAGAGTCTTGCTTAGTGCGGTAAAAGAGGCCGGTGGCTTCCAGAAGTTTTCTTGTCACCTTTACTGAGGTCGTGAGGTTGATTTTACCAGTGGCCGGGCGATTGGGGGGTGGAGTGTGCTTGTGTGTCGCTGTGAAGAACAACACACTATTACAGACGAGCCCGTGGCGGAAGAGTTAAGCTGAGATTTACATTGTAGAAACCCCCGCGATATCATTAACACTATATCACGAAGGGATTATTTCCATAACCGTATATATAACTAAGAAATAATTATATAAATAAATATATAAATATATATATATATATATGTATATATAGAAAATAATTACTATAACAGATCATCTGGATGTCATGTCACATTGCAACAGAGTTTAGTGGGTTATATAAGGTTCGTAATGTGTTACGTCATTCACGAGACAAAGCCTTGTTTGTGTATGTGACCCTCACAGCATATATAGTAGAGTACATATCAGTATTGACTGTAAGGCCGAGGTGAATCTTACAGTATATATATTATAGTACATATCAGTATTGGTAGTAAGGCCGGGGTGACGCTTACACTAAGCTATAGCACACATCTTATAGTACGCTATAATACCTACACACCAATATTAACTGCGGTGTCACGCTTCAGGTTAAATATACGGTCGGCATATTTGACCATCACTTCCAGCAGCAAGGTGCGCTGCTCTCTGCTCACTTTCCCGTCTACGGGAGACTTTGGGCTCTTTTTATCCTGCTTAGAATGCTTATTGTGCGATATTCTTCCGTGCCACAGAACTGGCTCGAGGCGCCCTGCAAGGTGACGTACTACGACTGAGCTATTGTGACGTTACTGACTGCTCATTGTGGACTTATTATAATAGCACAATTTAATTAAGCCTGCCCGCTAATGACAACTACGTCACTAACAGCCCTAGCAGCACTAACAGCCCTAGCAGCACTAGCAGGGGGTGCTATTTACGATGACACCCAGGTCGTCCATTCATACGCCTCTTACCTATCACACACAAATATACTGTACAAAGTTGTGCTAGTTTGTTCATAATACTATATAAGTAATCATCTTTATTATAATTAACATTTTTCATTTTCCACATTAATAATTTATCGTGATAGACAAGTACAAAGATGAACAGATAGGAAGACATACAGATAGAAAGGTTGGTTGTAAAGGTGCATCTGTAGGTAGAATATGGGCAGGTATGAAGATGAAGAGGTACAAAGATTGACAGGTGGGAAAATTGGCAGGTATAACGATGGGCAAGTATAAAGAAAAGATGGACAGGTGGGAAGACGGACAAGTAGGACGATGAACGTGTAGGAAAGTGAACATGGAGAAAGATGGATGGGTACAAGAAAACTGAACAGGTATGAACAGGTATGAAGCGGGTTATAAACAAGTAAGGATAAACGCACTCACTGGCTAGTTGTTCCCCATCCACTAGAGTACTTCGAATATTCTTCACGCTGACGTCATGAAGCAATGCCATAAACCCCTTTAGGAAAGCTTGCGTTACCAAGGGAAAGCCAGAGATGATGCTGTAGAAAGTATTTGCAGACGAGATTTAGTAACATGATCAACTATAATCACGTGATAGACAACTAGATCCGTAACCAGCGTTACCGCATCACGTCGCTCAAGCATGCGCATGCGCAGGTGGTAGAAATATTGGGCTTACTGTTTGATCTCGTTGATGAGGTTATTTAATGAACTGCCGTCGTCATCGTGACCTTGCTGTTGCCATGCTTGCAGCTTTCCCACGGTAGCTAACCATAGCTGTATGTGACCCATCACGGCGTCCGGCTGATGCTTGGTCCAGTTCTGTCCTCGATTAAAAACAAGAGAGAGATATACGATGAAACATGCACCACACACTGAGTCTGATGGCTCTCACGGCAATTACACACCAAAGCAAGTGAAACGATGTTCACAAATGTCTGGGCCATTTGTAAAAACCTTAGATGACATGTTCTTGGATCTAGGGGTGGTTTACATGAAGACCGCAGATCGTTTAATTTCCTTTGTTTGATCCATTACGAATTTTAGTCACAGTCGGAATGATAGTAAACATGACGGCGAATTCATAAATTTTGTTGCATTCGTCTCAAAAAGTCGCTGTAACCCCGTAAGTACCCAGCGCATCGTAGCGCACTGATGGTTACAAGAAGGTGGACGTATACTGATTCATTTGGTATATCACATGTGTAGTGTTCTTTGACGATACTTGGCAAATAAGGCAACTACGTGTTTAGCTGCAGCCAAGGTTTGAAACGGTATTCTAACCCTAGCAATACCGTTTCTTGGAGCTAGGGCGAACATGTGAAAAAGTATTCAGCAGTGAAAGGGTTAAAGAGGGAATAGCAATCTTCACCTGACCATGACAAATTTTGTGAAATGCTAATAGTAATAGTAATGTGCTAATAGTATTAGTAATAGTAATACTAATAATAAAATTTGTAATAATAATATTATGCTATGTATTACTATTACTATTACTATTAGTATTACTAATACTATTACTATTACTATTAGTGTTACTATTAGTATTACTATTAGTATTAGTTACGTAACTAAACTGTGTGAGTGGTCCGAATTCATACTTTTTTGAAAAATAATCCTTACCCTCACATATCGCGGATTCCTGTCCATGATACTGATAGCTCTGGACAAAAACCGTCAGGAGTGACTAGGAACTTTGTGGTGCTCACTATTCTTCTTCATGCACAGATTGCTGCAAAAACGAAAATTGGATACCTTGACCTCGGGTACTCGTAAATACCGCTATAAATATCATTGTTGAACCCACTGTCTTATTAGAAATAAATATACGTGTTATAGGAATTAATTAATAATAGTAAAATAATTTCTTCTTTGATTTATAGATTTTATTAATAAATATTCCAACAATCGCATTTAAGCAATAATAACATTTAATGTAGCCGTTCCTACTTTTTATCAGCATTAACAACCAGGGTAGATAGAAATACCAGAACGGACCGGAACAGACCGAGGCATTGTGTTTAAACGTTAATTCAACTAAATAACTTAGATATACATTTCAGACTTGATTGTTAGGGAGCTCAGGGCAAGTTCAGTTTCCTACCGTAAGGATGGTGGCCAATCAACGCCAACTCTCCAAACTGCAAGGACTCATTGCAGGTTTTGACAATGAGCCAGATGAGATACATTAGTTCTCGAGGTCTCCACCAGGGTTGAGGGGGGTCCACCAAAAGGTGCCACTGATATTGCACACCTTGATATCAATGACCATGGTCCATGGATATTATGCACATAATGCACACAATGCACACAATGCACACGAACCAAGAGGCGGGGGGGGGGGGTGGACGATTGTGACATACCACAGACTTTTGGTGTCTAATAATATATGGCTATATAATTGCCAAACCCTACACCTAATTTGCATATTTTCTTTTTAAAATATCAAAACCCTACCCTATATCATTTCACAATACCAAAAGAGCAAAATGCCGTTATGAACCTGAACTTGACCTAATGGCCAATCTCCCAATTATTTTGAGCCTAAAAATCTCCTCAACAACAAATA